TATTTCTGATTTTAAAATGGATTATTGGAAAACTTTTCTGAGACCAGGCATTTTATCCCTTGTAATGTATTAAACCAAAATGTTTTCCTCCATACTGAAATACCTGCAGATGTATCTATAAAAGATGATTTAAAAAAACCCAACCTCAATTATATCTCAATAAATCTGGAGGAAAAAAATACCACTTCACACCTAAAAAATTTAGCAATACTTCATTAATATAAAATATCCAGTGTTCAAATTTCCTCAATGATGTCAATTTTGTTTTTTGAATGATGACCCAAATAGGGTCAAATAGTGTACTAATTATGTGGTTTTTTTTCTAATGTGTGTTTATTTTTGAGAGAGCGTGAGCGGGGGAGGGGCAGAGAGAGAGGGAGACAGAATCTGCAACAGGCTCCAGGCTCTGAGCTGTCAGCACACAGCCCATCGCAGAGCTTGAACTCACAAGCCGTGAGATCATGACCTGAGCTGAAGTTGGATGCTTAACCAACTGAGCCACCCAGGTGCCCCAAATTATGTGTCTCTTAAATCACCTTTAATCTCCTTTAATCTGGTTCTCACCCCATCTCTATTTTATGTTTGCAATTTGTTTATTGAAGAAACCAGATCCTCTGCCCTGGAATTTCCTCTGGATATTGGTGATTGGATTTCTATTGTATTTGATAACTTTTTTCTCTATTCTCTTATTCCTATAAATTATTAGTTGTATCTAGAGTTGATTAGATTTTTGGCCACACTTCACATACGATGTTAGTATTTTAAAAAAATAACAGAAAAGTTCACATGCTCAGGTCTTTATGAAATAATAAAAAACTGCATTTTGTTAATGTATTTATTAAAGACGTTTATAGTTTATAAAAAAAATATTGCCCTGATATACACAAAAATTTCCTGATAATGGTAATTAAAAACAGGTACTCCCAACCCCGCATGTGTCCACACCAATATTCAATCTAGATTGGCTTAATCTTGAAGTGTAATCCAATAAGACTGAAGACCAAACACTTTAGGTCCTGGACAAGATAATAAAATACTCGTAGGCCTTCTGGATCCCTATAATGCAAGAGGAAAAATATGTTTAAAAAGCTGAAAAAACTGGCCAAAACACCCCATGCATTAAAAAACCCATATTATTTATGTACCAAGATATTCTTCATAAAGATATATACAAAATTAAAACTTTAAAAATAACCAAGTGTTACTGAAGGAAAAGGCTATGTGTCATATATTAAAATAGACTATTATGAGGTCATTTAAAATGTTAACGTTTTTAATAGGGAAATATTTATATTAAATGAAAAAAATCATGATTAAAATAGATTGTTGATCTCTATATTTTTTGTACTTTTTAAAATATAGTTTTTAATGCACAGAAAATAGACAAGAAATACTTCGAGATATAATGGTTGTTTAATTGGTAAGTTTATGGGTGGATTTCCCCCTTATTTTTCTGTATTTTCTACAGTGAGCATGTATTACTTTCAGAATTAGGAAAACTTTTTAAAAAAGTAGTAGTACTAAGCAGGACCAAAAGGCTGAAGATTACTATGAAACAACTAGCTAAGAACAAGAGGACTGTCCAAGGGAAGACAGTTATGCATGACATGTACTAAAAGTGAGGCATATATAATTCTAAATCCTCAAAACACAGGAGCCACAGAGGTTGCCAAATTCTAAGGGCTCTTTGTAGCATACAAACTCATGTCTTAACTCTATAATTTGCCCTACTGACAACATGATTTTTAAATTTGTATTCTAAACAGTTGCAAGTTTCACCATAGACTGTAAGATGTGCTAGTCTGAATGGCCAACACTGAGGAAGGTGTTCGGATCGATCCACTGACTGTACAGTTTATCTCAAGCTCCTTTTTGGTATATTCCATTTTCTGTTCTGGCCAGATTCCTACCTACTTTGGCTGCTCCTATGACATTACTCCATTCGTGTCACTGAGAAGCTGTATGTACCAATGACTGAATAAAACATCAAAAGCAACAGGAGCAAGCCCCTGAAAATAATTTGGAGTCTCTATGAGAACAAAGCTGACCCCTTCTGTATTGCATTTGTACAAGATCTTACCATGATGGTCCCAATTTGGTTAAGGCTTCTTATCAATCTGCTTTAAAACAGACACATCTGGATATAAGGATCATGCACACTTACTTGGATTGATTGACATCGATAAGAGAACCAATTTTTGATGTTGTGAAAGAAATGTGTTCATCTCCAATGACAATTTCAAGCTCCTAGAAACATTTAAAAAAACTAGGTCAAGCCAAGTTGGATTTTTCATCAACCCCGCAGAAGATGCATCATCTGTCAAGTCATACAAACTCGATGACAGATGGCCACGTAAACAAGACCAGTTCACTCCAATCACTAAACTGTGCTGGGTACTAGAAACAAAGAAATTAAATACTGGTTTCATCCTTGTATGCTCTTGGGTCCCAATTTCTAAATAGTGAGCACTGTAAATCTTTAAAAACTATCTATGGGGGAATGCTCACTGTGTGCTAGCTATTGTTCTTGGTGCTTGGGACAGATCAGCAAAACCAAACAAAGGTCTCTGCCCTTGTGGAATTTACAATCTAGTGAGTCCTACTTCTTTTTTCTTAAATTTTTTTCTATTTCTTTTGATTTATAGTTTTCAATTATGAAAAGACTTCGAACAGAAAATATAGAAAACTATGAGACTGATGTTCTTAACACCCAGATGTGAAAATGTTAATAGTATGTCAAACTTGTGTCAGATTTTTTTTTTTTAAAGAAATAAAACATTACACCTACAAAGTTTAGGTCCACCTCCCCATTCCATTCTCCTTCCTGCATCCCAGAAGTTGAGGCGTATTCTTTCCACTCATGTTTTTTGATTTGGTGGTATGTTTTTACATTTTTACGTAAATGATCATACTATATGCATCTTTTTGCTTTCTTCATCAACACTGTTTTTGTATGTGACCTAGTTCATTAGTTTTAAATGCTTTAGAATATTCCAATCATAGCCCTATTGAAGCAGACTTAAGTTCCCAATTTATTTTACTATAACCATTGTGGCAAGAATATTCTTCCATGCATCTCCTTGTATGTGAAAATGTCTCTAGGAAAATTCCTAGAAGCAAGGTATAAGGTTTTTCAGTTTTGCCAGATACTATCAAATTATTTCCTAAAATGCCTGTACTGATGTTATTCCCACTACCATGTAAGATCTTTTTCTTTCTCATATCCTTTTTTTAATTACTTTATTTATTTTGAAGAGAGATCACATGCAGAGAGGGAGAGACAGAGACAGAGACAGAATCCCAAGCAGGCCTGGCACTGTCAGTGCAGAG